TAAATGATTTTAATTATCAACTTTTTAACTTAATGTTAAATTGTTAATGGAAAATCTTCAAACTATAATGTCAGCAGGTCATCTTTAATAAATCACTAGGAATTCTTAGGAATTTTCTGATAAGTTTAATTTTATGAGATCAGTTTTTTAAGCCTGTTGCATCATGAGAGAATGCCATTGAGTTTTCTGTCAGAATAATTATAAATAAATCAAGTTTCTTTTATAGTTGTTTTTAAACCAAATTTTAATTTTCTTAAATTAGGAATGTGTATATTCTGTGGTCAGTAATAATTTGTTTAATTCAGAATAACTTTTTGTACCATCATCAAGTGTACAAAGTAAACGAATTCTCCTTAAATATAAGCCTTGAGGGGCTGCTGGGTGGCTCAGTCAGTTAAGTGTCTGACTCTTGATTTCCATTCAGGTCATGATCTTGGGGTCATGAGATTGAGCCCCACTTCAGGCTCTGCACTCAACATGGAGTCTGCTTGAGATTCTCTCTCCCTCTCCCTCCCCCTTGGTCCCTCCCCTGCTCAGGTGCTCTCTCTTTTTCTAAAATAAATAAAACCTTTAATTAAATAAATAAACAACAAACACTGAACTGAAATAAAATTTTCATGCCATCTTTGTCTAAAAAATGTGATGTTCCTTAGTGGTCCAGTGAACCATGATGACATGTGATAGTCATCCAGTTTGGGATCATGGGCCTCCAGGAAAAGAGGAAATCATACTGCAGCTCAGCAGGAAAGTTTAAAGAACCTAAATAATCCCGGGCGCCTGGGTGGCTCAGTTGGTTAAGCGACTGCCTTTGGCTCAGGTCATGATCCTGGAGTCCCTGGATTGAGTCCCGCATCGGGCTCCCTGCTCAGCAGGGAGTCTCCTTCTCCCTCTGACCCTCCCCACTCTCATGTGCTCTCTCTCATTCTCTCTCTCTCAAATAAATAAATAAAAAATCTTTAAAAAAAAAAAAAAGAACCTAAATAATCCCTCTGAGAACCTGTAGTATCTTTCTTGGTTTCTAACCTGGTAGGATGCCTTCCACTTCTTATTAGAGTCCTAACTGCTTATTTATACAGATGGAGTTTAAATAAATTTAACTTGAATGGTATGATGTGAACATTTTATTTGTGATGTAAAACTTCTCTTCGTTTATTGCAGTACTTTCCTAATATAAGCATATTGAATATCCTAGGATAACCAGGATGATCATAAACCTGAGTATCTTTGCACTTACCACTGAAAGATTCTATAATGGTTCTCAAAATTAGCCTATTTATGCTGGTGTCATGCACACCAACTGGCCTCTCTTCTAGTCTTTTCTGTCTCTAAAATGTGGAAAAGTGTGTTTGTACCCAAGTAATAGCAGGTAGTCACAGGTTCTGCCTCTGCCCAAATCTGTGTTCTTCCCATATGCTACACAGAAAACACTCCCCCCACCTGTGTTATAGATAATCCCACATATTAGCTAATATAGGAAGGAAGCCAAGTAACATCTTATTTTAAAGCTAACTTCACATTTTTCTTTTAACCTAATCATTTAACTTCTGAGTATGGTATGTGGTTGTCCCAAGGAATACAAAATCTAATGGTCTGACAAGTACTTGACAGTGTATGCTCTTCGTTTTCTTTTTTTTCTTTCTATTGCACATATCACAGTCACTTTTTAAAAACCAAACCTCCAAGAGCCTAGCTTATATTAGTAAAATCATTATGGTATTAGTTATAACATTATGTGACAAGACCCAAGCATATGAAATAAGGCTCAGTTACGACCAAGCATTGGAGCTTGCAAGTATTCCCAAGTTATCCAGGCAATCATAATGACTATTTAAAATTTTTCTTTTTCCATTTTACCTTTTCTGTTTCCTTGGCATGGCAAAACCTGAAGTTTCTTTTGTTAAAGCCAAGTGATTTTGTAATATGTTTATAAAATCACACATTTTTTTCTTGGAAAAATGTGTATTATTTGTTTTATTTGCATCTAAAAAATTGCATGCTCTCCTGTATTTTATAACCTTTGGTTTATGCAGGAATATGCTGAATTTCAGTATCGGAGGAGGCACAGACAACAACGCCGTCGAGGAGATGTGCACAGTCTGCTCAGTAACCCTCCAGACCCTGATGAGCCGAGTGAAAGCACTTTAGGTAAGCTCTTGAGTTGGCTATGTTTTCGTCTCTTCATTCTCCTGAATTCATTCTAAAAACTGGCTAATCTAAATGTTTGTGAAATAGTTTGTAGTGCAGATATACAATCAATGTTCAGATGCTTTAAATGTCACAGGACACAGAAAACCAGGGAGATTAAGAACTTGGGCTGTGGAGTCAGCCAGACCTGGATTCGTGACCCCTTCTCTGCTGTGTGTCGGTGTGAAACTTCAGTCAAGTTCACTTAACCTCTCCAAGCTTCAGTCTCCTCATTCCAAAGAAGCAATAATAACAGTGACACTTTGCGGGCTCACTGTGAGCATTAAATGAGAGAATGCGTGTAAAACCCTTAAACACTGGTAGCACCTAGTGAGCACTCAGTAAATTGTAGCTCTTGATCACTGTTACTATGTTCATGAAATATTTTTCTCCTAGCCTCAGTCCTCCTCTAAAACATTCTTTAAAAGAGAGAAGATTTCTGGTATTAGAGATAAATGATTTTAATTATCAACTTTTTAACTTAATGTTAAATTGTTAATGGAAAATCTTCAAACTATAATGTCAGCAGGTCATCTTTAATAAATCAGGATCAGGGGCGCCTGGGTGGCTCAGTCATTAAGTGTCTGCCTTTGGCTCAGGTCATGATCCCAGGGTCCTGAGATTGAGCCCCACATCGGGCTCCCTGCTCAGAGGGGAGCCTGCTTCTCCCTCTCTCACTCCCCCTGCTTATGTTCCCTCTCTCACTGTCTCTCTCTCTCTGTCAAATAAATAAAAATCTTTAAAAAACATAAATAAATCAGGACAGTGAGCCTAAAGATTTGTTCTTCGGGCTATTGTAATTTCAAAATTCTTTAGTTTTAAGAACTCTGAAAACTAATATATCTTTATTTGTTATTGCTTAAGGAAAAAAAGAGGAATGGGTGGTAGCACTTGCATTTATGAATAGAACTATATATAGTGCAAACAAAAATGTAAAGAACAATCATGTGTTTGAAGTAGTAGTATTAGATATATACATACTAGAATACGTACATATTAGAAATATACATACATATATATACATAAATATATAGAGAGAAATTATATATATATATTTTTTTTAAATAAAGGAAGCCAGTCAGCACCCCCTTTTGGAGCCCAATGTAGGACTTGAACTCACAACCCTGAGATCAAGACCTGAGCTGAGATCAAAAGTCGGATGCCTAAATGACAGCCACCCAGGTGCCCCGGTATTAGATATATTTTGATGAGATAAATATGGAGGAGAAATCTCTGAAAGATTAAGTGAACACAGGTTTTCAATAGCACTGAAAGAGAAATTGTTGGCCGAAAGCAAAAGATGGGTGAAGTCTTGTATGACTGACTTGTCTCTGGTCCACTTGCATTGAAACAGACATCACAGATGGTGGCAGTGGCCGCAGGCCTGGCGCCTCAGTGGTGAGCTCCGCGTCTATGAGCGTGCTGCATACCTCCTCCCTGCGCGACTACACCCCTGCCAGTCGCTCGGAAAACCAGGACTCTCTTCAGGTAGCCTTCCTGGGCAGCCTCGTCGCCCTGTTCATGCTCTTTCTCTGTTTAGCCCGGCTTCCTATTTCTACTTTCATCGTTTTCCTTTTTCTTCTTTTCATTCTAAAACCTTTGTTTCAGAGATGTAATACCAGAGTTCTCTTAAGGAATTTTTTTTCTCTTTAGCGTGGGCAAGGAGAAAATTAAAATAAGACTTGAGTAGATAAAAAAATAATTCTGTATAAACAGAGGTAATATTTATTATCTTTAGCAAAAGAAGAGTTGGTAAACCTCGTTGAGTTAAATAATTTTTCCTTTTAAAGTTTAAAGTGATTTTTACTTTCTGTCACCTCAGGCTCTGAGTTCCTTGGATGAAGATGATCCCAATATACTTCTTGCAATACAGTTATCACTGCAAGAATCCGGGCTGGCCATTGATGAGGAAAATAGAGACTTCCTCAATAATGAGGCATCCTTAGGAGCAATAGGCACCTCTTTACCTTCTAGGCTAGACTCGGTCCCCAGGAACACAGATAGCCCTCGGGCTGCGATGAGCAGCTCTGAGCTGTTGGAACTTGGTGACAGCCTCATGAGATTAGGAGGAGAAAGTGACCCATTTTCAACTGACACTCTGAGTTCACACCCTCTCAGTGAGGCAAGAAGTGAATTCTGTCCCTCATCCAGTGACCCTGACTCAGCTGGCCAGGACGCCAACATCAATGACAATCTTCTTGGCAATATCATGGCTTGGTTTCATGACATGAACCCTCAGAGTATTGCCCTGATTCCTCCAGCAGCTATAGAAATCAGTGCAGATTCCCAGCTCCCCTGTGTCAAAGATGAGTCAGAAGGTGTGAGGGATGTGGATCTGGTGCCACCGGAAGAAGATTCAGTGTTTGAAGATGCTGTGGTCAGTGAAGGTAGAAGAACCCAAATAGAAGAAGAAAATCCTTTGGAAGAAAATACTCTGGCTGGGGAGGCCGCATCTCCAGCTGGTAATAGTGGTAATGAGGCAGCCAACAAGGGGGATGGTTCAGATGTTTCAAGTCCAACACCTCAGACCTCAAGTGACTGGCTTGAACAAGTCCATTTAGTGTGAACTGAAGACCTTGGGCTCCAAATGAATCACAGGTACAGATGGTATTCTAGTGGAGTATGCTTTATAGAGACTTGATCCACTCAATTCCAACTCAGTTTTAAACCACTGACGTTAGGGTTGAATACGAAGGAGTTCCTTGAGTGGTAGCTTCATTTCTGATTTTAACCTTACAGGGAATTTCTTTTGTATTTAATGGGATAGCTTTTCCCCTTTGTGCTGACAAAAAAGAAGAGTAAGAGAAACACAAATGGAATGAGTAGGCCAGATTCCACATTCTGAGAAAATGCAGTCCTCTGTTTAGCCTAAGGTTGACCATACTTAAATTGAACATTTAAATTAAAGGCTTACTCCCTAATCCTTGGGTGGTTTTTCCTCTTTTAAAGAAAAAAGTTTTCTTCATTTTAGAAGTTACTTTGAACAGATCTAATAACATTTCGTTCCTCAGTCTGTTTGTGCTCTTCCATCACTTTCTTCCTTTCTGTCTGAGCAGTGTGAATTGAGGTATCCAAGGCTTCTCCTTAGTGCTACATCTACCACAGTGTAGTTTTCATATTCACATGAATCAAAGATTTCTTGTCATGTCTATTACAGTCCACTTGTGCCAAAATGACTCATGCGCTGACTAACGAGGCGGTAGGCGTGCGGTGTCCTGAAGGGCTCCAGAGGAGTCTCGGCCTTCTCAGGAGTTAAAGGTGCCACTTGGTAGCAGTGATATTCCAGAATTGAATGGGCTTTTGTTGCCATGGAGACTGCATTTAAATAAATGTAGCCTGTAGCTTAAGTTAACTAAACCTAATGCTGCTGTTAAAAACAGTTTATTTTAATATTAAAATACAGTTGATTAGCAACAGCGGTGCTGTATTTTAAGAGACACTTTATTGGAAGTGCAATCATAGTTCTTTGTTTTCACACTTTTACAGTGCATTCTAATTACTAATGGGTGCAATTACTTTTAATGGTAAGTGTTTTATAAAATAGAAAAAAAAGTGGAGTTTTCATGAGTTATAGTAAATCCCACAATTATTAAAAAATTCAATAAAACATCCTGCGCAACATGTTACCGTGCCTTTGCCTAACTAAATGGATAGTTGCCAGTTAAATAAGTGAGTAATTCAAATTTCAGTGTCTCTTCTGAAGTAACTATGCTATGAATTGCAAAGACCTCCATAAAACCACCCATGGCCTTGCCTTTACAGTAAATATAATAACTAAATGTTCAGTTTGTTTGCCTAAATAGCAAATGCTGACATGTGTTTGTTCTATTGCACAATACTCATTTGCTGTGTGATTACTGTTTAGTGTTGAAAAAAATCAATTTCCTAGTTATCAGTGTCTTACTGTGAAGAAAATACTGGTCATAGTTGTAATTAAGATACAGTGGTACAGTGTGTAATTAAAACTAGAGTAAACTGTTGGAATGGCTGTTTTACTTACATATTATCAAAACTAGCATAACACAAACAAAATAGATATGCAACATTCCGTTTAATGTTTTGCCAGATTCTTACCAGAAATCTACAGATACCAAAATTTCAGTACTGAGTGTGTACAGGCAAGTCCTGGGCTAGGTGCAAGGTTATATTAGTATTGATATCCATGTGAGTTGTGATTATGGTTTTTGATTAATTTTTTTCTTCTCCAGGAACTGCTTTTGAAATTCTTGTCCTTCGAATTCATATGGCTAGGACATTATATTAGAGTACTTAATATTCCCCAGGTTCCCTTGGAATAAACTGTATGTGAATTGCTCCTATGCCATGGATATCAAAGATCCACATTAGCTTTTATTTCCCCAATTATCAGAAATGTCGATATCAATCCCCATTAAATTAGTTGGGGAAAATATTAACTTTGTCTACAGTGTATTACTGTATATTAAACTGAAACAGTCCATTAAAGGATTTTTTTACAAATTTATTTTGGATTAAAAATAGCGACACCAATCAGTTTTTAGACCAAGTTGTAATTTTTCAATAGAAAGAGTCTTTGTATCACATTGAGCATCTAGCAAAGCTGCAATAAGGTGAGGAAGAGTGGTCCGTGTGAAGACAGTGTATGTGATGGGTTCCGGCTCCTTGCACCTTGTGCAGTCCCCTTTGTTTCTGTGCTTTTATCTCCTGAGCATGAAAAATGATCATTATTCAATTTGTATTTCCTTGGTACATATTTTAAAAACAACACAGTCATTGACTTTACAATTCAGAAATAAAGTTTGGCAAAGCCTATTTTGTAAACAAGTTAATTTTATAATGTAAAAAAAAAAAAAAATTACTCTAACCTTGACTTGTTATTTGCACTTTCATAGTCTATACTTGATACATTCCCACTTTATATACAGTAGGATTCTACAAACGTGTAGATGTCTGGCCAAATGAATGCTGTTAATAATATGTAAAATTCTTTGATTAAACATTTATTACTTAAACTACTTCACTTTTGTCTCATTACATTATAGACTTTGTTTTAACCAAGTCAGGAAGCTGATTTTCTTCAAATTAAATTCCCTCCAATATAATGGGATTAACTTGGTTCTGACATGTAATTGATTAGTGCCTAATATTTTTTTTACACTAGCCCACTTCCTGAGTATTTTATACCCCAAAGATAAACTCCAAAACACTGCATGACAATGTGTTAAAACATTGTGACTTCATTGCTCCTTTTATTTGCATCACTGTAGCTTTCAGGAGAAAAGTGTTAGGATTTTTACTTGAAATTTCCAATAGAAACACACAGAAAAAGATAGAATTTTAAGGTATTTTGTAAAATTGCTTAGGACAGGAAACATTTTGTATGCCGTATGAATAGAAACACCATCATTTTATTATTCTGCCCCTTCTCAGTTACCGAAACAGCCTTTGCATCTGAAGTTCCAGTTTCGTGGAGTCTGCCGGTGAGAACCACTTAGTCATGTCATTGTATTTATGCTTTTCATTGTGTGGATCTGAAGCTTAACCACTAATGTCCATCTGCTGAATTATTCTTCAGATGTTGTTTACTGCAGCCACTGATCTCATTTTTGTTCTTTTAGTCCTCAAATATTGTTGTTTACCTGTCATGAATTAAAACCTGAGACTTACCGAAGTTTGCTTGTAATCTTAAAACAGTTATAGTGAGTGTGTCTCTGAAGAGTAAAATCTTGGAATCTAAGTAACAAATTTGGGGAGTTTTTTTAAGGCTGAAATAAAAACTCCATAGGAAAAAAAATTGTCATGTGCTCTGCACTGGGGCTGAGTGGTATTATCTCAGCATTGGGCCATCGGGATAATCACTGGGTCTTCTCCTTAGCAACAGTATGTTACTGCCTTGTCAGCCATCACCCTCTCACCACAGTAGTATAATTCTTTCTAGAAAAATAGAAGTGGCTCTTTCTAGACTACTGAGTGGCCGTCCTTATTTTAGGAACGGCAGTCATCATAGTTCTTAAAGAAAGATGGGCCAGAAAAGTTTTCTTTAGCTCTCTGTTCCACTTAAGACTGACAGATGGCTGACAAAATGTGAGTGGTGGGCAAATTTTGAAGGACTTATCCTTCTTCAGTCTTTGAAACTATAGTTTGAAGATATTCTGGATTGGGCTGTATATCATTTTGTACTATTGCACAAGGCATCAGTTTACAGAGTGAGAGATACATACATGAAAGGACAAACAGAACACAATATAGGAAAGGCTAATTGTCAGACGAGACAGTCCAGTTCTCTTGCACCTCTTCTGCGCCCACACACTTTGCTGGGTGTCCCAAGACTGCAAGGCCTGACAACAGTTTTACCTGGGTATTTCTCAGGGTTTATGCAGTTAGTAACCTTGAGGACAGGGAGCAGGTATGCTGTAAAAGCAGTGGATTCCTCACCCTCAGTGTTCCTCAGCTGCATGCTTGGCATCCATCCGGGCCCATTGCATTGCCCCTGTGGAACTAGGGATAAGGGGAACTGCCACAAACATGCTGATGTTCATTCTGCAGGCTGTGTCTGAATGCGAAATAAAACCCTTGGCCTCTGACCCAAGAGTCTTGTGTCTTCTGTCAGCATCCATGATACCGTGACAGGCGAGCTTACTTACTGGTTCTTACTGATAGGGTAAAAATCAAATCCCAGACCTAACAGTTTTGGCAATGGGGATGGAATGCTGACAGAGACATGATTTTTCTGGAAGAGGAACCATGGGTCAGATTTGGGAATACGAGACTCCCTGGAATCTATCTGGTAGTGAATGCTTTCCTCCAAATGATAGATGAGGGGTTAGGGGGAGAGTAAGTGTTCCCACTGTCCTACTTATTACTGAAGAGAAATTGAGCTAATATTTAAAGGCTTAGCCAGAAAAGCTAAGATTGAAACAAGCTTGCCCAAATGGTGCCTTGATGGTTGGTGACTTCTGCAGGCAGGCAGGCAGAGGAAGGAATATTTTCATGACAAGGGATCAGCAATTCCTGTGGCTATGCGAAACACAGATATAGTTCCTGAATCAAGGAGTCCCCAAACATAAAATAAATGGTATCAGCGATAAGAACCTTGCTTTTTGAATGAGAGCTTTGGGTGGCCCAAAAACTTTAGAAGTTGATTTGGTTGGGCTGCAAGCAATCGTGGCACTGTTCCCATGCAAAAGTGCATGCAGGACAGGTGGCGCTCACAGCTGGCAATGATGACAAGGTGCTAAGTGCTGGTGACAGTGGTGCCAAAGACTGCTGGGTGGGTGTGGAGAAGAAAGAAGCCCCTGAGCCCTGGTTCTTTCTGGATGCTGACGGGCATCAGCACTGCCATGGCAGAAGTAGTTGGGGCACTGACTCTGGAGAAAGGGGCTAAAGGAGGAAGAAGCCAACAGTTAAGTTCTCTCTCCACAGGCTAGCCTCCCCCACCTCCTCAGGTTTCCCACCCTCTTGGTTGGGGGATAGCAGGATCTGGCACCCATATGCCGCCTGCTGTAGCTCCTGACTCACACATTTTATACTCCTCAGTTGGGAAAGGCATTTGGACGAGCTCCGCAGCAGAGAAGGCAGGCTTCCCTTGTGAGTGAGGCCCTTTGGGTGACTCAATGTAATGTCACAACTTCCAAAACCGAATGCCTATTGGAACTGATGTGTTATGTGCCCAGAAGTACCTATCTCATAATTTTCATGGGGTTTCTCCCATTCAAGGACTGCCATATGTAGAGAAGTGACAGGGACATATAAATCACTCCCCAGTTAGCCTCCTTGTCCTCCCCTCTCCAGTGGTCCGGCAGAAACAATAAAGAACCCAGGAGGAGGGGCGCCTGGGTGGCTCAGTCGTTAAGCGTCTGCCTTTGGCTCAGGTCATGATCCCAGCGTCCTGGGATCGAGCCCCGCATCGGGCTCCCTGCTCCGCGGGAAGCCTGCTTCTCCCTCCCCCACTCCCCCTGCTTGTGTTCCCTCTCTCGCTGTGTCTCTGTCAATTAAATAAATAAAATCTTCAAAAAAAAAAAAAAAAAAAAAGAACCCAGGAGGAGAAAGGGAATGCACTCCTTTGGTTAAAGTACTTAGGCCATTTCCCAGCACAACATTGCCACCTGTCTGATGCAGCCACCAAGTACACCCATTTTGGGGAAATTCCACTATTAACCAGCTCCTAGGCTTTTGTTTGAAACTGAATGCCTGACCCATGGAGGCCTTGTGACTCACTGGTATGACATCTCCAATTTGGAGTGAGTCAACTATACTTAGAATCTAATTAACCTGGGCCCAGCAGGCCTTGCAAGTCAAATAGAAACAATGTTAGAAGAGGTATATTTGAGAGCGCGGCTAACCTGACTATAGCATAAATATCTCAATTTTACATGAAAAAAATTAGTAGCTACCCCTTCAGGAGATATTTTGAGCCCAACTTCACTGCCTGAAGCAAAGTCACTGGCTTAGTGGGGGGGGGGTCTCAGTTCATAGAATGCCTGTACTTGGTTCAATTGCTTGTCAGCAATTTCTACCAAGTCCCAGCAAATTTTTTTTTAATTTTTTATTGTTATGTTAATCACCATACATTACATCATTAGTTCCAGCAAAATTTTCTTAAAAACTATAGATAACACAATTCTAAAATTTATCTGGAAAGGCAAAGGAACTAAAATAGCTAAAAAGCTAAAACCTACTTTGAAAAGGAAAAATTAAGTGGAAGGAATCATTCTCAATTTCAAGACTTCAGTAGTCAAGACTGTGATACTGGTAGAAGGATAGACACATAGATCTATAGGAGATGGAGAATCAAAAACAACCCCACACAGATACCATCAACTGACTTTGACAAAGGTACCAAAACAATAAATAGAGGAAGGAGAGTTTTTTCAATAAATGGTGCTGGAATAATTGGTTTTAAAACGGACAAAATTATGAACGTCTACCTAAAGCTCACACTTCACATAAAATTTAAAATGGATCACAAATTTAAATGTAAATATAAAACTTACAGGAAAAAAATAGTAGAAAATCTTCATGATCCAGATTAAGCAAAATATTCTCCCACTTGATACCAAAAGCATGATCCATAAAAGAAAACATTGATAAACTGGACTTCATCAAAATTTAGCACTTTGCAAGAGATCCTTGTGAAGGTGAAAAGCTGCAGACTGAGAGAACATTTGCAGACCACGTATCTAGAATATATAAAGAACTCTCAAAACTCAACAGTAAAAAGATAATCCAGTATAAACGGACAAAAGACATGAAGAAACATTTTGCCGAAGAAGATACGTGGCTACCAAATGAGCACATGAAAAGTTCAACACATCCACCAGGAAATATACATTCAACAACATCCACCAGGAAATATAAAATCACAGTAAGACACAGTATGTACCTGTACAACTGGCTAAAATAAACAGTATCAACACCAAATGCTGGCAAGCATGCAGAGAAACTGGATCGCCCGGGCACCACTGGTGGGAACATGATGGCACAGCCACCCTGGAAAATAGTTGGGTAGTTTCTTTAAGAACCAAGCGTCCACTTCCATAGGTCCCAGCACTTGCACTCCTGGAAGGAAAGTGAAAAACATGTCCACAGAAAAACCTGTGCATAGTTATTCATAGCAGCTTTATTTGTAGAAACCAAAAACTGGAATCTACCAAAATGTCCTCTAGTAGAGGAATGGCTAACCGTGGTCTCTCCATGCAGTGGAATGCTACTCAGCAGTGAAAGGGAATGAACAACTGACATGACGTGCAACAACGGGGATGGATCTCAAAGGCATTGTGCTGAGTGAAGAAAGCCAGTTTCAAAATGTCACCTACCGTATGATTCCATATATGTAACATTTTTTGAACTGACGAGAGATGCAAACAAATGAGTGGTTATCAGGGGTTAGGGATGGTGGGGGGCAGGGAGGGGTGTGTGGCTATAAAGGGGTTGCACAGGGGACATCTTTGTAGTGATGGAATGGTCTGTCTTGGTTATGCTGTCTACATGAATCTACACGTGTGGCAAAATCACGTAGAACTACACATACATACTGTACTAATGTCAGTTTCCTGGTTCTGATATTGTACCTTATGTAAGAACCATTGGGGGAAACTGGGTAAAGAGTACACGGGGCCTCTCTACATTTTCTTTGTAATTTCCTGTGAATCTGTAATTATTTCAAAATAAAAAGTTAAAAAGAAAGGCCAAATTTGGCATGCGGGCTATGGTTTGCTGACTGCATCTTTAGAGCAAAAATCAGATAAATAAAAGGTTATATTAGTGCATTATGAGCTGCAACTTGGAAACCATCAATGAGATCTTCAGCAGTGGCTTTGTTTCAAAGACTGTGATTAAGTAAATATACTGAAACTGCCAACATTTGTTCTTGACGGTAGTGTCAAGTATATGCCATGGACATTTTGGCCATTGATGTTCCTTTGAGCCTCTGAGTGCCAGGGGGCATACTGATTTTAAAAAGAACAAGGCTAACTGTGAAATAATAGCCTTTAACATGAGTAGTTTCACCAAGGCCCTTTTGTATTAGATAGATACGTGTGCTCATCGAACCTCATCTAGAGCTAGAGGAGGGAATACCCGTTTGGGATAATATAAGAACAGAAGTTAAAAGTAAATTATAGATTGCCCCACATTTGTGGGCATTATAGAAAGTATAACCTGAATTCTATGGATTCTCCTGTTTCTTTTCCTGTAAGCTTCCACTACCCTGTTGTGGACATCCAAAGTTGGTGTACAAAGGTGCTGTGTATCACTGGATTTGAGGCCACTCCTGACAGATTTCCAAACTGGGGACTCTTCTCAAAAGATAAATTTCTTGGGGCGCCTGGGTGGCTCAGTCGTTGAGCGTCTGCCTTCGGCTCAGGTCATGATCCCAGGGTCCTGGGATCTAGCCCCGCATCGGACTCCTTGCTCAGTGGGGAGCCTGCTTCTCCCTCTACTGCTCCCTCTGCTTGTGCTCTCTCTGCATTTATACAAATCTTAAGATTTTATTTATTTATTTGACAGAAACACGCGAGAGAGGGAACACAAGCAGGGGGGGCGGGAGAGGGAGAAGCAGGCTCACTGCCAAGCAGGGAGCCCGACGCAGGGCTCGATCCCAGGACCCTGGGATCATGACCTGAGCCGAAGGCAGACGCTTAACCGACTGAGCACATCCAGATGCCCCTCAAAAGACAAATTTCTAATATTGGGAATAAATTAATCTCATCAGATAGACTGATGCCAAGAGGTGTGGCTTAGAGTCCTTACTAAATGCAGAAGTAAAAAGATTGCCATGGATGTATTAGAATTTCTTTTAATCAAGTCACCGCTATGTAACGGCAGATACAGTAGACCCTAAATAGGCTGTGTGTGGTTGAGAACATTACTGAGACAATGGAAATGCCTGATGTGGTGCTGGGGCAGCAGAAACTTAAGAATGAAATCAGCCAGCATGTCCCTGTTATATACAGGAAGGTTTTCTTGATGCCAGGAGAGTATGCAAAACCTCAAGCTTCCCAGCTGAATTTTCTTCTTTTATGGAATTAATTCACCAGGACTCTGGTAGCAAAGCCTTTGGCAGGTACACACATGGCAATGTTTG